CTTTGAACCTCAATCCTCAGATCTCAGCCTCATGAATACCTAGGAAGACAGGCGGGAGCCACTGGTGCATGCTAGACATAACTCTTACACTAATACGTTCTTGGAGCACACAATATTTAAGGATAGTTTATGAACATACCATGTGCTTATCTGAGCCTCGTGAACACAAGCATGGTAGGATACAGCGAATCTTAAGTATTAATCTTATACTCTGTATTATAGCATGATACCTACAGAAAATGATGATCTTTGTTTCTTAGAGACAGATCTGCTCCTGTTGGTGCCTGAGCTTAAGGAATAGAGACACAGGATGAAGTGCATACTCAGATAACGTAAGGCTTTGGATATATTTTAAAACAAAACAAAACAAACAAATGAGATCTAAAATGTGAATGGGGAAAAATCCCCCAACCCTGTCTCCACAAAGAAGAGATAAGAAAAGCAGGATCTCCAACTTCCAGAAGTATTTTTGACAAAAAATGGTTTTTAGAAGGCTTTAGTGAATCTCAAATAACCCTTGCAGTGCCATGAAGGTTAGAGTCACATTTACATATTTATGACTAGAGCAAGTACTTTGCATTAAAAAAACTACAGAGTACATAAAAAAAGTTCGTTCCTGTAAAAAAAATTGGTATGTTGTTAAAAAATTGGGATGGGGCATCTAATAAAGATTAAGTACATTAGCCTATATACCAAATTTGGTTTCAAGAAAAAACAAACAGGGAAAATGGTGCACCTGGAATACCCTTTGCTATTGTTTTTAAACTAGTAGGTAATACTAGTTACAGGGGGAGTTTATTATGTATCTTCATATACATTTATACCATGTTTCAATTAATCTCATATTCTTTGCTTTTTATAGCATTTTAATGCAAAGAATGACACCCCCAATTCCTTTCCTATACTCAGCAATTTAAATTATAATGCAACATCTATGTCCTTAACTTGTTATAAGCTTATGGCTAGAAGCCTTCATAGTAAATCAATATCTGTCTTATTTTATTTTGTGCTAGTTATGTGGCTTGAACTCAGGGGGTCTCACTTTTGCTTGGCTTTTCCACTCAAGGCTGGCACTCTACCACTTGAGCCACACCTCCACTTCCAGCTGTTTGCTGGATCAATGGAGGTAAGAGTCTCACAGAGGGGCTGGGAAGGTGGCTCAGTGGTAGAGCGCTTGCCTTGCATGCTTGAGGCCCTGGGTTTGATTCCTCAGCACCACATAAGCAGAAAAAAAAAGTGGCGATGTGGCTCAAGTGGTAGAGTACGAGCCTTGAGCTGAAGAGCTGAGGGACAGCGCCCAAGCCCAGAGTTCAGGCCCCATGACCGGATCCCCCCCCCCCAAAAAAAAAAGAGTCTCACAGATTTTTCTGCCTAGGTTGGCTTTGAACCTTGATCCTCAATCTCAGCTTCCTGAGTAGATAGGATTATAGGTGTGAGCCACCAGTCTCTGGCAGCACTAGTGAGCCTCCAGTAAAACATAAATGGGACAGGCTGCTTCTCTTCTTTCTTGTGCTGGCCTCAATAATGGGAGGTGAAAGGTGAAGATTGGCATTGGTGCCAGAGATCCTCTTCTGGCACTAATATTTTGCTTTGAAAAAAATTATAGACAGTGAATGGTAACAGCCTTCTTTCAACAATCAAATTTGAACAACACTGAATTGGGTCTATGTTACTTCTATCGTGGAACTAATTAGTATTAGCTAGCATAGCTGTTCAGTTTACCAAAATAATCAGATACAAATCTTCCAAGTGGCACACAGATCCATTGTGCTAGCCATGTTCAAGTGTCTTCCTCTGACAATCATGCTACATTTTCATCAACTCTCTGATCTTGATTGGTCAAAGCCAAGCATCACCTATACTATAGTTTCATTAGCTCAGTTAATTGAGGGCCTGAGGCCTGATGGCCATTTCTCCCTTTTTCCCTCACATACAACCACCACAATTTTGTGACTAGAAAAGAGAAGCAATGTAAAACATCTTTTAGTTTGATTCTGATTTAACAGGGCATAAGAACAAGATTCTCTGTTGCTCAAGTAACTTTAATTTTCAATGACAAAAGAATTTAATGAAATGAAATCTCATGCTTTGCTTTTTCCTCATGTGGGATGTTTAACCACAACTATAGTATAAGGAAGATCAGTCTTCATGTCAAGAAAACCTAATTTGTCTACTGAAATTCCAGAGGATAAAAAGGGGAAAAAATAATCCACCATATTTTCTTCAATCATTTATACTCCTGAAAACCTGTCATTAAAATGTTCCTTTTCAAAATTGCTTTTCTCTCTCTTTTCTCTGAGGTGGTTTACCACATTTTCCTTTCTTAGCTGCCTACCATACCCTGCCCAAGAATGGCTTATGGCGTGTGAACTTTGTTTAGTATCTGCCAGAGGAATAGGCCCACAAATTACCCTAAGTGTTCATTGTTTGTACTCCTTATTTATCCAGGCATAACAGCTTTATGAGAAAAGGAAAATATGACAAGAAATGAAGGTCCCATATGTCTCAGCTTTGTGTAAGCTCAGGTGTTGCATGCAGTTCAAGTTTTGGTTAAACAATTTTTTTTTTTTTCTCCCAGTCGTGAGGCTTTAACTCTGGGCCTGGGCGCTGTCCCTCAGCTCTTCAGCTCAAGGCGAGCGCTCTACTGTTTGAGCCACAGTGCCATTTCTGGTTTTCTGGTGGTTTATTGGAGGTAAGAGTCTCAGGGACTTTATTGCCCGGGCTGGCTTTGAACCCTGGTCTTCAGATCTCAGCCTCCTGAGTAGCTAGGATTACAGGCGTGAGCCACTGGTGCCCAGTGTAAAACAATTTTTGAACATTGCCGATGCTAGCTACTACAACCATTATATTATGATAAAAGGTAAAATAACCCATATGACTTTGACCACCCCAAGACTAAAATGTACTCTAATTTCAATATAAAGACTGAACCACTTAACTAAATCCTCATCATATATTTAAATAGGTATTAATAGCACCTTCTATGAAAGGCTGTTTTAAATAGGCACAGAAAAAAAATAGTCCTCTAAAAATACTGTTGGAATTCACTAATATATCCCATGTCACATAAATTACTGCTTTTTCTTATTATAAAAAATAGCAATACCCTTAGAGGCCAATCAATTAAACATATTATCAACAGAACATGACCGAAGTTTAGAATACTGTTCTATTCCAAGATAAGACGTGTTTTCTATTTAAAAAATAAATAGAGAAGGATGTGCACCTAAAGCTGAGGAGCTAAGCATGTATACGTTATATATTTATTTTTTACCCCTATATACAGACAATTGCTATTTGCTTTAGATGTGTTCTTAGGAGTACATCTACAAAAAAAATTATCTTTTCTTAATAAGTCAAAACTCTGAACACCAACAATCTGTCCTTTTTCCTCTTTTTAAAAGAACATAGATCATGTATGCAGCTTGAGATTTATAAACAAAATAAATTAATACACTACCCTAAACTGTCCCTGTACTTTTCACCATGGCAACAAGGAGGTATATCTTTTAAACGGTTTTAGGTTCCTAAATGGGAAAAGGACACTGAAGGAATTTTTTGGGTGTGTGCCAGTACTGGTGCTTGAACTCAGGGCCTCTCTCTCTCTTTCTCTCTTTTCTCAAGATTAGCATGCTACTATTTGAGCCACAGCTCCACTTCCAGCTTTTTGCTAGTGAACTGGAGATCAGCAGCTCACCCACTTTCCTCTGTTGGCTGGCTTCAAACCATGATTCAGATCCTGAGTAGCTGGGATGACAGGCATGAGCCACCAGTGCCCGGGATTTCTTAAATCAAAGTGGCCCATTCTAACCTTCAGACAAATGTCCACATTCATGGAATAGCTCACTTCAAAAAGAAAACACTCCATTCTTCACATTATTTCCAAATTGTATCAAGAGAATGGCTCTGCACATTGACTTTACTCAGAGGACACAGACGGAGAAAAACAGTGTCCCTGGAGTTGCAATGATGAGCCTCTATTTCGCACGAAGGGGCGAGGAAGGAGAGCTAAGGAATGTCTTGGGGCCTTGGCTGCCCCTGAAGTTCAGGACTCGGATTTGTTCTTGGGGTCGGTTTGCTCTTCCATCGTGGCTAAATACTCCTCGGTCCCCTCTGGGGTCTCACCTGTGACGGCCATGAGGATGATTTTCAGCCATTTCTGTTTCAGGTCCTCAGTGTCGGCTGCGAAGCTGTGTGCAGACTTGGACTGGGTCAGTTTGAAGCTGTGGGGCAGATCTGCGCTCCGGGGCACATCATCCACGATGTAGCCAAGGAGGGGAATCGTGGCCTGTGCTCTGACATCCTGAACAAACCACAGATACACAGTGTCACATGGATGAGCCAGTTCCATGGGGTCCCCTTGTCCTGCAACCCTGCTACTGCCCCTCCTCCCATGCCAAGCACACTGGGAATGGACCCTGGGATTCCTGAGCTGGCCATGAGGCTGGACACATCACTCAGGGACAACTGGCCCCCAAATCAGCAGCTGTTCAAAGCAGGCTCAGCCCATCTGGCAGTGGAAAAGCACCCACAAACAATAATACTAGCACCTTCTTGCTTTCAGCCAACAGGCATTAATGGCAGCTAGTGATTCATTCATTCAACCATTTATTTGTTTTTTTTTGTTTTTGTTTTTTGGTCAGTCGTGGGGGCTGAACTCGGGGCCTGGGCGCTATCCCTCAGCTCTTCAGCTCAAGGTTAGTGCTCTACCACTTGAGCTACAGCACCACTTCCGGCTTTTTTCTTTTTGTTTATGTGGTGCTGAGGAATCAAACCCAGGGCCTCATGCATACAAGGCAAGCACTCTACCACTGAGCCACCTCCCCAGCCCTCAACCATTTATTTGTAGACAGAAAAAGGGGTAAGGAAACAACAAAGAATGAAAAACATGTAACAGAGCACTGGTGGCTCATGCATGTAATCCTAGCTATTCAGAAGGCTGAGAGCTGAGGACTAAGGTTTGAAGACAGCCTAGGCAGAAAAGGCTGTAAGACTCTTATTTCCACTTAATCAGCAAAAAGCCAGAAGTGGAGCTATGGCTCAAGTGATAGAGCACCAGCCTCGAGTAAATAAAACTGAGTGAGAGTGAAGATAACCTGAATCCAAGCCCCAGTACCAGCAGACAGACAGATACATACACACACACACACACACACACACACACACACACACACACACACACACACACACACACACACACACACTTGTTTTTCCTTCTATTCCTCCCTGTGCTTTACTGCCTTCTTTTAACTAAACTCATTTTTTTCTCAAATGTGCTATATAGGAATAAGAGCAGGGACCAATGGTCCACAGAAAATTTAAAACAGGCCAGTCGCCAGTGGCTCATGCCTGTAATCCTAGCTACTCAGGAGGCTGAGATCTGAGGATCATGGTTCAAAGCCATCACAGGCAGGAAAAGTTTATGAAACTCTTATCTTCAATAAACCAATAGAAAACCTGGAAGTGGCACTGTGGCTCAAGTGGTAGAACACTAGCCTTGAGCGGAAGAGCTGAGGGACAGTGCTCGGGCCCAGGACAGACAAAAGTAAAAAGAAAATTTAAAACAGCAACTCTAATGCAAGGCACTGGTGGCTCATGCCTGTAATCCTAACTACTCAGGAGGCTGAGATCTGAGGATCTTTGTTTGAAGCCAGCCCAGGTAGGAAAGTGATGAGACCCTTATCTCCAATGAACTACCAAAAAGCAGGAAGTCGAGTTTTAGCTCAACTGTTAAAAGTGCTAGCCTTGAGCAAAAAAAAGCTCACGGGCAGCACAAGACTCTGAGTTCAAGAAAAAAAAGTGACTCTAAAAATTAATCGGATGGAAGTGGCGCTGTAGCTCAAGTGGTAGAGCGCTCGCCTTGAGCTGAAGAGCTGAGGGACAGTGCCCAGGCCCAGAGTTCAAGCCCCACGACCGACCAAAAAAATAAAATAAAAATTAATCGGTTAACTTAAGCAACAAACAAACTTTTTCGGTTAACTTAAGCAACAAACAAACTTGATTTGAGCTGCTCATTCCCTTCGCTCTTTCCCTCCCTACTTTTCTTCCTCTCTCCTTCTCTTCCTTCTCTGTTTCCGGGGCTTGAACTCAGGGCCTGGCTGCTGTCCTTGAGATTTTTTTTTTTTTTTTTGCTCAAGGCTAGCACTCTAGCACTTGAGCCACACCTCTCCTTCTGGCTTTTTAGTGGTTAATTGGAGATAAGAATCTGACAGACTTCCTGCCTGGGTTGGCTTCAAACCAGGATCCTCAGATCTCAGCCTCTGAGGAACGAGGATTACAGCCATGCACTGTTGGCACCTGGGGGCTCATTATTTCCATTGAGACATGGTAACACTGTCTGAGACCAATGGAAGGACTTGGTGTCCACTGACCACAGGCCTCCCTCTGTCTCCTCAAATAGCTACAGCTAACTTACCTGCGGGGCACCAAACATGTAGAGCACCAGGGGGTCTTGCTTAGGGATCACACACCAAACTTTCTGCCAAGGTTTTGACTTCTCCATGTACTGAAGGAAGCTGCACACCACGCTGTTTCCAGAGACTTCTGCAGACTCGATCTAAACAAATATAATAGAATTAATACAACAAGCCCAAGACAGGGAAGCAATTCTACTTTATTATAATCTCCCTAAGTACACTATATTTGTATAAAATGTCTCTTTGGATGATTTTTTTCAAAAAAAAGATTTGCAGTTACTGTTTTAAACTATGGAACCATATTCCAGTTATCTTTAAGTCTTTATATAATGGGACCTTGAATTAATTATTGTCAGTACTTGGGCTTGAACTCAAGGAAGATTCTGCTTGGCTTTCAAAATTTTGTATTATTATAATAAAAGTTATGTACAGAGGGGTTACAGTTATATAAGTCAGACAATGAGTGTATTTCTTTTTGGACACTGTTACCCTTTCCCTTGCTCTCTGCCAGTTTTTCCCTCCAGTCTTCACCTACAAGTTGTATAGTTCATTGTCATAGTGAATAATGAGCACAATTGCTGCATTTGTTCACCCTGCTTGGCTTTTTTTGATGAAGGTTTATGCTCTACTACATGAAGCTACATCTCCAATTCTACTTTGGCTTTGTGGTGATTAAATGAACATAGGAGTCTCATAAACTTTTCTGCCTGGGTTAGCTTCAATCAGTCATCCTCAATTTTCAGTAGCTAGTATTACAGTTGTGAGCCATCATATATATATATATATATATATCATATATTATATATGATATGTATCTCTATATATCTATATCTATATATACATCCTGTGATCCTACTACCTCTGATTCCTATGTATCTGAGATTGTAGATATGTGCCATAATGCCCAGTTTATTGGTTGAGATGGAGTCTTGTTGATTTGGGGATTTTAGAAATAAACTACCACATCTCATCCCCCAAGAACTCCATTCTTCCTTCTGTCTGTCTTTCTCCCCCTCCTATCCTTCTCTTTTTGATGGCAAGGCAGTTGGCTCATGGTTCTGTGCTTGTTAGACAGGCATTATATGACTTGATCCATGCCCCTAGTCCTTTTTGTTTCAGTTATTTTTGGATTACTGTCTCATTTTTTTCCTATGCCAGCCTGGACCGTAATCCTTCTCATACTTTTTTTTTTTTTGGGTCGGTTGTGGGACTTGAACTCTAGGCCTGGGCGCTTGTCCCTGAGCTCTTCAGCTCAAGGCGAGCGCTCTACCACTTGAGCCACAGTACCACTTCTGGTTTTCTGAGTGGTTTATTGGAGATAAGAGTCTCACAGTCTTTCCTGCCCGGGCTGGCTTTGAACCTCGATCCACAGATCTCAGCCTCCTGAGTAGCTAGGATTACAGGCATGAGCCACCAGCACCCGGCCCCTCCTCATATTTATATTTTCTGTAGCTGGGATTATACACGTACAACGGCATCCAGTGATTGGTTCAGGTGGGGTCTCACTTTGTCTGGGCTGACTACAAACTGCCATCTTCCCAAACTCTACCTCTTAAGTAGCTGGGATTACAGGCATAAACTACCATGCCCAACCCCCAAAGAATTGTTCTTATTAGTAAATCCACAGTATAAAAACCTATGTACTAAATATGTTTGTGTGTGTGTGTGTGTGTACGCACGTGTGCACACACCATTTCCCTAGGACTTGGGCTCAAGGCCTAGAGGCTGTCTCTAAGCTCTTTTGGTCAAGGAAAACTGTCTACCACTTGAGCCACACCTCTATTTCTGTTTTGTTTTGGTGACAAATTGGAGATTAGATTTTCATTGGAGAAAAGTGTCTCAAGGACTTTCTTGCTCAGGCTAGCTTCAATCAGTGATCCTCAGCTTTCAGCCTCCAGAGTAGCTAGGATTACATTCATGAGCCACCACCAGCCTTAAACATGTTTTTGTTTGTTTTTAAAAATCTTTTAGTATATCATTTGTTTTTTTTGTTTTTTTTTGGGTCCGGTTGTGGGGCCTGAACTCTGGGCCTGGGCACTGTCCCTCAGCTCTTCAGCTCAAGGCTAGCGCTCTACCACTTGAGCCACAGCACCACTTCCGGCTTTCTTTTTGCTTATGTGGTGCTGAGGAATCGAACCCAGGGCCTCAGGCATGCAAGGCAAGTGCTCTACCACTGAGCCACCTTCCCAGCCCCTAATATTTCATTTTCATACCTCTAAAATTCCTTTTTTTTTCTTTTCTTCACTGTCAGTGAATCCACTTAGTATTTGATAACAGTCTTTGCAGACTTTGTTCAATTTTCCACCATCATACTCAAGTTGAGCTTTGTAGTCTGAACATTTCCAACAAACCACCTTGAATTAAAAAACAAGGATAATCTCATTTAAAAGACAATAAGGCTTGAGCAGTTACAATTACAGGTAATAATAAATGATAAAAAGTTTAAGCCAGGCGCTGTTGGCTCACGCCTGTAATCCTAGCTACTCAGGAGGCTGAGATCTGAGGGTCGCGGTTCAAAGCCAGCCCAGGCAGGAAAGACCATGAGACTCCTATCTCCAATAAACCACCAGAAAACCGGAAGTGGCGTTGTAGCTCAAGTGGTAGAGCGCTCGCCTTGAGCTGAAGAGCTGAGGGACAGCGCCCAGGTCCAGAGTTCAAGCCCCACGACCGACAAAAAAAAAAAATAAAATAAAATAAATGATAAAAAGTTTAATATAAGTTGGATGGCTGGTGGCTCATATGCCTGTAATCCTAACTACTCAGGAGGCTGAGATTTGAGGACTGTGGTTCAAAGCCAACCTGGGCAGGAAAATAATGAGTTTCTTATCTCTAATCAACCACCAGAAAAACCAGAAATGGTGCTATAGCTCAAGTAGTACAGCATTCACCTTGATATGAAGAATTGAGGGACAGTGTCCAAGCCCAAAGTTCAAGCCCCACCACTGACAAGAAAAAAAAAAAGATTAAATGTAAGAGGCAGACTTGCTCCAGTGTGCTAGTACTCGGGGCTTCATATCAGGGCCCTGTGATCTCACTTGGCTTTTTAGCTTCAGCCTGTTGCTTTATCTGCTGAGCCTTAGCTCCACTTCTGGTTTTTGAGGGCTAACTGGAGATAAGAATCTCACAGACTTTCTTGCCCCGTGGGTTTCAAATTGTAATCCTCAGATCACAGTCTCAGTTCCCAGCTTTTTTTTTTATTATTTTTTTATTTTATTGTAAAGATGCTCTACAGAGGGGTTACAGTTACATGAGTAAGGCAATGAGTGCATTTCTTGTCCAGCATTGTTACCCCCTCCAGTTCCCAGCTTATTATACTTACTCTGGTAAACCCTGATACCTGCCTGTATTGTTGAATCTTATGAGAGAAAAAAGTTTGGCTTATTTACGTCCCTTTAAATGTGGAGTCAGGGGCTCCTAATGGGTACCCAGTGCACCTACATTTCTGTGTAAGCTCACTTATCCCTGTCTACATCAATGCCTTTCCTTCTAGGTTTATTTTCAGCTAATGATTCTTTTTCATTCTTTACTAAATATAATATTGAAGTTAAGGTTATTCAACGTTTGCCCAAAACGAAAAAGCAGTTGGCTCTACCCAGCATATCCTTCTGCATTTGGACCCATTATATAACTTAACTCTTGTGTTGTTACTGAGAATGTGTGTCACTGTTCTAAGGCTTCAACTCAGGGACTGGGCACTGTCCCTGAGTTTGTTTGTTTTTTTTCTCAAGGCTAGTGCTGTACATCTTGAGCCTCAGTATCACTTCCAGTTTTTGTTTTTATTTCAAAGGGGGTGTGAACTAACTGGAGATAAGAATCTCACAGACTTCCCTGCCAGGGCTAGATTTGAACAATTCTCAGATCTCAGTCTCCTGAGAAGCTAGGATTTCAGGCATAGATAGACATGAGCCACCAACCGGAGGCTTCCAAGTTGATAATTTTCTATCACTTGTATAATTACTCATGGCTTTAAGAAAATGTCAAGAAATGCTACTTACATGTCCACAAGCTCGACAGTGGTGTCTCCTCCTGGTCAGGGCATTAAAGGGTTCTTTGCATTTCATGCACATGGTCACTTCATTATCTCGGATCCATCTTGGGGCTCTTTTTCCTAATTCTGCAGTCTAAAGAAAAAAACAATTAAATTTATTTATTTATTTATTTTTGTCGGTCCTGGGGCTTGAACTCTGGGCCTGGGCACTGTCCCTTAGTTCTTCAGCTTAAGACTAGTATTCTACTTCTTGAGCCACAGCACCACTTCAAGCTTTTTCTGTTTATGTGGTACTGAGGAATCAAATCCAAGGCCTCATGCATGCGAGGCAAGTACTCTACCATTAAGCCACCTTCCCAGCCCCTAATTAATTAATTTTTGATCAGTCATGGGACTTAAACTCAGGGCGTGGGCCCTGTCCTTAATCTTATTCATTCCATCACTTTGAACCACCTTGCCACTTCTGGTTTTCTGGTGGTTTATTGGAGATAAGAGTGTCATGGACGGGCTGGGAAGGTGGCTCAGTGGTAGAGCTCTTGCCTTGCATGTATGAGGCCTTGGGTTCAATTCCTCAGCACCACATAAGAAAAAAGCCGGAAGTGGTGCTGTGCTAGCCTTGAGCTGAAGAGCTGAGGGACAGCGCCCAGGCCCAGAGTTCAGGCCCCACGACCGAACCCCCCCCAAAAAAAAACAAACCAAAGAGTGTTATGGACTTTCCTGTCCAGGCTGGCTTTGAATCATGATCCTCAGATCTCAGCCTCCTGAGTAGCTAGTATTATAGGTGCCTGGCTGAGATTTTTTTTTTTTTTTGGCCAGTTCTGCGGCTTGAACTTAGGGCCTGGGTACTGTCCCTTAGTTTCTTTTGCTCAAGAGTAGCATTCTACCACTTGACCCATAGTGCTACTTCTTTTTCTGTTTATGTGGTACTGAGGAATCAAATCCAGGGCTTCATGCATGCTAGGCAAGCACCCTACCACTAAGCCACATTCCCAGCCCCAAGACTGAATTTGATTAGAAAAAGATGATCATTCCTACATAGTTCTTTGAAGTAGTTTTGCTTGGTATTGGTGGCTCTCACCTATAATCTTGGCTACTCAGGAGGCTGAGATCTGAAAACTGTCCTCTGAAGCTAAGCTGGACAGAAAAGTCTGTGAGACTCTTATCTCCAATGAACCAGCAAAAAGCTGGAAGTGGAGGTGTGGCTCCAGTGGTAGAGAGCCAACCTTGAATAGAAAAGCTAAGGGATGGTGCCCAGGCCCTGAGTTAAAGTTGAACCACAATTGACAAAAAAAGAAAAAAAAGAGAATGAAATTAATTCCACATTCTACTTACAGAAACCTCTGAGTGAATGTCATTATCCTTTGCAATTGCATTTCTGAAGGTTTCATTCCTCTGATGAAAAGCATCAATAGTCTCCTGAAGGGCCTAAAATAGAAACAAAATTCAAAGCACACATTAAAGTGCCCACACAAATGAAGTGAACACACTTTGTTAAACAAATACTTATGATAGGAATAATCTTTGAAGTTCAATGAACTTGTTCTGATGACAATATACTAAACAACATGTGTACATGTGTGCACCACAAATTGCCAAAATGAAAACAGAAGTCAAGCTTACCTTGATCCATTCTTCTTTGTCTTGCTCAGAACTAAAACAAAACAAAATTAAAATGAATGCAGAATATTAAAATTATGCTCTAATCTTGTGTCAACTTCCTGGAAAATTCAGGAATTCCCTGGAAGGAATTACAGTTAAAAACTAGTGACACTTTGGTACTGAACCTTAACTTCTGATGGGGAGACTGACATTTAGCTTACTGGATATAACTACAGCTAATCTTCCAATTTTCCAAAACAGAAGGCAGCTATTAAATCCTACTGGCCACAGCCCATCTCAGGAAAGGTAACAATTATTCTTGTAATCTTATAAATATCTTCAAAAGGACTTGGGGAGCTACTTAACATTTCCCTTGACAATTTTTATTTTCCTATTCCTTAGAGGCCCAGACAGTACCCTGCCCAACCTATTAAAGACAAGACAGAATAGTCAAAAACTTAAGTCAGATTCATGGACCCCAGGGTTTAGTAATTTTTCTTTAGGGAAAAAAACATTCCTTGACTTTAGTGAAGCTAGCAGGCTGGCCTTCTACCACTTGAGCTATACCTCTAACTGGAGATAAAAATCTTGAGACTTTCCTGCCCCAGGTGGCTTTGAACCCAGTCTCCTGGACTAACTAGGATTACAGGCATGGGCCACGCTTTCTCCTGCTACTGCACATTTTCTTCTCTTTTGCAGGTAGCTTATATAGTTTATATAGCTGTGGTTATATACTGTGCTTGAAAAATGTCCTGTAGCAGATTCTGAATTGACCTAGGATCTATACATGGAATGATTTGTTTGCGTGTTTGGTGAGAGAGAGGCAAGTGTAAGCTCTAAGTGGAGTGATAGTCTGATAAGTATAAATAAGTGTGAACCCAGTCAAAGGCCAATTCCTGTGACAACATACACCTCTCCAACATTTGTTTATTTATTTACTTTTAGTGCTGGTACTGAGGCTTGAACTCAGGAATCTATCACTTGAGCCACATCTCCAAAAAACTCCAATTTTTTCATGGCTACCTGGAGATAAGAGCCTCTCAGTTTTGTCTAGTAGGCTAACCTTGAACCTTGTCCTCAAATCTCAGCCTTCTGAGTAGCTAGGACTACAGATGTGAACCACCAGTGCCCCGCTCCCAGAAAAAAAATTTTTTTATTAAATACTGCCATGCTAGGTAATCTAAGCATGCTACAGGAAGATGCTGCTTATTCTGAGAATTTCAATTTTATCTTTCAGAAATAAAAGCTTCCCAATGCCTTGCTTACTATTATATTTTAAAAATAATTTCACAGTTGAAAACTATTGCCTAGGGGCTGGGAAGGTGGCTCAGTGGTAGAGCGCTTGCCTTGCATGCATGAGGCCCTGGGTTCGATTCCCCAGCACCACATAAGCA